CAGTCCATGGCGGGGCCCCTTAGCAGCGAAACTGCATACCGAATCTTCGCGGCGTCCGACTCGACGTAGTTCGCGTCGAAGAAGACGTTCATCGTGAAGACCCACGATTGAACCGTCGGACCTCCACGTTGGCTTGGGTCGAAGCAGGGCGGGCGTTGTGGCTTGAGCGTCATTGGTGCCATAATGGCCTGTTCGCCACTTGTCGCTGCGAATTCCACATGCCGACGGGCTTCACGGGGCTCCCGCGGGCTTTGTACAACCCTGCTTCCTCCCATGCCAGGCATCGGCTGGGCGGCGCCATCACTGGCTGCGCCTGAGTGCTGTCCCATGCTCTCGTGTTGCGTTGGTGTGCCGGACGAAATGATGATCGGCTCGTCTGATTGTGCAGATGCATTTGTCAGTGCGTGTGATGTCGCTGGAATGTTCACCGTGGATTGTTGACGGGCGGAGTCACGTTCCGCCGTGAGCGTCGCGATTTCGAGCGCCGAGTCTTCAAGTTGGCGCACGAGACGATCAAGCTGCTCCTGCGTCAATGTGGCGAGCGTGAAATCGGCCATGGCGGGGGTGTCGGGCGAGCTCAGCGAGAGCCTCGGTCGTGGCCGTGCGTGCTTACGAGAGAGCACTACAAGCGGCGGTGCTGTATCGCTGAGAGACGTCTACCCCCCCCCAAAAATTGAGATAGTGGGGAAGCGAAAATGTGGGTGCGGTCCGAGAGGAGATCGTAGGCTCTGATTACCTAGTGTTACGAGTGCAAATGAGTAAATGAACGGGAATTGCACTATCGAAGCAAGAATACAATGAGCGAAGGCATGAGCGAAGAATATATAGCGAAACTACAGTGGTAACGGTAATGGACTGTGGTTGTCGCGTGACGGGCCTGGGACTGAGGTTTGGGAAAGTGTCGAAGCGGAGGCCCGGAGCGTGGGTTACCAGCCGAGCCGTGAGGTTGGGGTGCAATGTGCGAAAATGGCGGGCTGATTGTCGATGCGAGGGTCGCGAGTGGTAACGGTGCTGACTGTGGTGCTATAGTGATGTACGCGTTGAGCAGGGATGCGAAGTAAGGAAAAATGATTTTCCTTACACCCTACTTGTTTTGAAGAAACTCTCGCAACCCCAGGCAATCGTCCTGCGACAACGGAACCCGAGTGCCCAAAAACAGAACTGACGCGATGATCGCCAACCATATGCACTGTTCACCACTCACATAGCTTGCTTACCAAGTCGTACTCATAGACTAGGAGGCTCCAAGACAAAAACTAGCGCTAGTTGGCAAAAGCGAGTCGTTGTTAGGGCTTTTTTTTTGTGCGGAAAAAAAAATAGGTATCCACCTCAACCATCTTAGTCAGTGCACGCTCCGATTTCCCCCTCACGTCGCCGGTCTCGTGTTACAACCCGTTCACCCGCAGCACTTACGTTAGTGAACAATCGTCGCGTTACTCGCGCCTTGCTTTCTAGCTCGCGTCGCACAAGATGCTCTTTTCACACTTGCTGCGGTTCAGCCTCGCGTCCCGATCGTATTGTTTTAGGCACGGGTCGCTCACGCGAATGCCGTACAGGGTCGCCAGACGCGCGCTGCCGTTAGTCTCATATGTTTCCCCTCGTCGGCCGCTCTTTCCCACGTCATACCGCTTTCCTCGTCGCCCACAATTTCCCTCATCTCCCTCGCCGACCCTCGCCGCCCTCGCCTCTGCTTGTCGCCCGCGCTTCCTGTCGTCGCCCTTGCTTCCCCGTCACCCGTGCTTCCCGTCGTCGCCCTTGCTTCCCCGTCACCCGTGCTTCCCGTCGTCGCCCTTGCTCTCCCGTCACCCGCGCTTCCCGTCGTCGCCCTTGCTTCCCCGTCACCCGCGCTTCTTCTCATCTCTCGCTCTCCTCCTCAACGTCTTCGTTTTCCTCTTCGCCATAACGCCCTCACTTCTGCCCGTCGCCCTCGCCTCCCCACATACCCGCCTCCATCTCCCCCACATACCACCCGCCTTCCTCCCCACATTCTATTCCGCTTGTCATACGCTCTTCTCCTCTTCCTCCCTTCCATCTCTCCCTCCCTCCCTCTCCCTCTCTCTATCTCTCTTTCTTCGAACCTCTCTCTCACCCTTTCTTCCACCCTTCTTCCTCCTGAGGGGAAGGGACTGAATGAGAGACACAGAGGGGATAGGACAGAAGGGTACGCAGATGTTCTTTTCCCCCACGCGCTTCCCCTCATCGCCCTCACTTCCCCCAAATTGTTGCCCCCTGTCTCTGTTTTTCCCAACCACCCATTCTCCCACCAGCCCTGCTTCCCCCTTTGCCCTGATTCCTTCCACCTTCTGCCCTGCTCCCCCCCATCCCCTTCCCTGCTTCCCCCCACCCTCTGCCCTGCTCCCCCCATCCCGTTCCCTGCTTCCCCCCACCCTCTGCCCTGCTCCCCCCCATCCCCTTCCCTGCTCCCCCCTACCCTCTGCCCTGCTCCCCCCCATCCCCTTCCCTGCTCCCCCTCACCCTCTGCCCTGCTTCCCCTCATCCCATTCCCTGCTTCTCCCCACCCCCTACCCTGCTTCTCCCCATCCCCTTCCCTGCTTCCCCCCATCCCCTTCCCTGCTTCCCCCCATCCCCTTCCCTGCTTCCCCCCATCCCCTTCCCTGCTTCCCCCCATCCCCTTCCCTGCTTCCCCCCATCCCCTTCCCTGCTTCTCCCCATCCGCTTCCCTGCTTCCCCCCATCCCCTTCCCTGCTTCGACCCATCCGCTTCCCTGCTTCCCCCCATCCCCTTCCCTGCTTCCCCCTACCCTCTGCCCTGCTCCCCCCCATCCCCTTCCCTGCTTCCCCCCATCCCCTTCCCTGCTCCCCCCCATCCCCTTCCCTGCTTCCCCCCATCCCCTTCCCTGTCTCTGTGTTACCCGTTTCCTTGTCCCTTTTCCCTGTGTCTCCCCACCCTCTGTTCTTATTCCTTCACCCTCGCACACCTTACCGCCTGCCGACCTTACCGCCTCCCCACCTTACCACCTTCCCTTCTCATCCGCGCGCAGGTGTGCCCGGAAGGTGCACGTGCTGCCTTGTGCCTGCCGCTTGCTGTCCACGCCTTCCATCCCACCTCTCCCAAACCACGTCTTTTTCTATATGTGCCTCCCCTGCTGGCCCATACCCTCTGCTGATCTGCGCCCTATGAGGCCGTGCCCTCTCTGTTCCCCGCCCCTGCATGTACGGAGGAATTGGGAGCCGCTTTGCCTAGCAGCCAGCACTGTGCAGGCAAGGATTCGAACTGGTGGATCATGGGGCAAGGGTAAGGGAGTGTGTTGTGCGGCATGGTCAGTGCGGAGTGGCGTGGGAGGGAGGCAAAATGGCAAGCACAGGGTGAAGGCAGGCAGGGGCCGTGGCAAAAATATGGAGATTGGCAGTGTCAGCAGGATGTGCGGCAGGATGCTGGCGGCAGCGCACGTCAGGGCATGTGCGGTGGGGTAAGGCTGGTCTGCGCTGCGGTGGGCCAGGGGAGTGCAGATTGGTGCAGGGAAAGGCACGACATGTTCCTATGTGGCCGGCCGAGACCCTCACTCTTACTCGCGTGAGTTTCGCGTTCCCCACCATTTCAACCCCAAGAGAAGCGCAGTGTGCCCCACCAGTGCTGGGGCGGGAGCAGTGCTCTGTCGCACACTGGGTCGTTCGGCCCTCCCATATCCTCGGGGACAGCTGTCGCATAGTATCGTGGCGAAGACTGTTTTTCCCGCCTCCTGAATTCGGTTTCGCCCCACACACATTTTCGAAATTCACGATTTTCAGGTTTTCGCCTAACTGTTTCAACCCCACATAACTTGAAAAATTACCATGCTGACCTCGGGCTTTAACATCTATTCAGTCTCGGTCTCCTCGTCAAATGATAACAGCGAACCAACCCCCTTCTGTGTTGTCATCTGCCCTCCACTCGCCTTCTTTTGGTTCTTCCCTCCCTGCAGGCCATGAGGGGGAGAGCAATAGGCAGTGGCAGTGTGAAGCAAATCAACCAACAAGTTAAAAGAGCACTGGGCGGTGAAGCAATGAGAGCTTGCTGTGTTCGCAATGTGTGAGCAATTGTATTGGCACGAGTGCTGGCAAGTGTTTTTGGCACGAGTGCTGGCAAGTGTTTTTGGCACGAGTGCTGGCAAGTGTTGTTGGCACGAGTGCTGGCAAGTGTTTTTGGCACGAGTGCTGGCAAGTGTTTTTGGCACGAGTGCTGGCAAGTGTTTCTGGCACGAGTGCTGGCAAGTGTTTTTGGCACGAGTGCTGGCAAGTGTTTTTGGCACGAGTGTTGGCAAGTGTTTTTGGCACGAGTGCTGGCAAGTGTTTTTGGCACGAGTGCTGGCAAGTGTTTTTGGCACGAGTGCTGGCAAGTGTTTTTGGCACGAGTGCTGGCAAGTGCGTGAGAAATTTATACTGGCAGATGTGTGGGCATACGTTTTGGGTAAATGTGCTCCCAAGTGTGTGCTGGCAAGTGTGTGCTGCCAACTGTGTGCTGCCAACTTTGTGCTGCCAACTGTGTGCAGGCAAGTGTGCAGCAGTGGTGGTGGGCTGCTGGCATGAAGCAAGCACGCAGGCACGATGGACGGCATGCAACAATAAAGATTCTAAGCTGGAGCTTACGGAAAAGGAAAGATAAGATAGAGCAGTGTGTGTGCTGGAGGTTGGTGCTCGCATGGAGGAAGGGGAGAGGAGGCGGGCGGAAGGGGAGGGAAAAGGAGGTGGCGAGAGAGGGGGAGGGGGACGGATGGGAGGGGGAGGGGGCGAAGGCGAGGAGGGATGAGAAGGCTGTGCCAGGGATGAGAAGGCTGTGCCAGGGATTGTGTTGCTCCTGCCTTGTGTTCTCCCTTTTCCACTTCTCCCATGTTACCCATGCCTCCCATCCCCATGCCCATGCCTCCCATCCCCATGCCTCCCATCCCCATGCCCATGCCTCCCATCCCCATGCCTCCCATCGCCATTCCTGCTCGCCCCTCACTCCGTGCCTGCATGCCCCTTGCCCCATTCCCGCCTGTCAGTTCCCTCTAAGCCTATCAATCACTTCTCCCCCCACCCCCCCCCCCCCCCTTCCCCCTCTCCCCATCCTTTCCTTACCAGCGCATCTTCCCCCTTCCCCTCCCCTTTCGCCCCCCCCTCTGCCGTTTTCCGCTTGCGAAACGTGTGTTTCCCACTCTTGGCCTCCTTCTCATCCTCCTGCTGCCACCTCTCCCGCGCCTGGAGTGGCAACACACAGCACAAGTGGCAGTTACACAGACAGATACACTACGTAAGTCATCATGTGGGGCAGCTTTCAATACTCAAGACGTGTGCCTCCCACTCTTGGCCTCCTTCTCATCCTCCCGCTGCAACCTCTCCCGTGTCTGCGATTGGGAAATGGTACAAGTGTAGCGAGGTTGTTTTTGAGACGTCTCAAAAACAACCTCGCTACACATGCAATTGGGAAATGGTACAAGGTGATGGATCAACTCTCAACTCTAATACGTGTGCTTTCCAGTCTTGCCTCCTACTCATCTCTTTTGAGCCGTCTCACAGAAGTGGTCTTTATCTCTACTGACACAAGAAGCATTTGGAGACTGGTTCCTAGTTGACACGACAATCAGTTGTGGAGTGTGGCTGTTGCACACCTGTTGCAGCCCTTGAGAGCAAACGGTGCTGAGAGGGTCACAGTTAGCGTGACAGTTGCTCACCTGTTTTGACGCACCTCTTACTTGTCTCACTTCTGACGGCTACTCACCTGTTGCAGCCCTTGCCTGCACATGGTGCTGAGAGGGTCACACTTCAGCCCCTTCTCGTATGCTGCTGCTGCCTGCAGTGATATCCAAGCAGGGAGAGAGAGAGGAAAGAGTGGGTACACGCAGTTGAACCGAAACAGAATGTGCAGATTTAACTTTAAATCGTTCATCTCTCGATCCAATTCACCGGTACAGTTTCAATCCACCTCTTTCGGTATATTTTCAACTCACCTCTCTCAGCAGTTTAAATATACCTCTCAATAAAGTTTCCACACTCCTCCTAGCACAGTTTCATCTCACCTTTACGTACAATTTAGTACACCACTGCAAATCCACTCTAGATACTGTTTCATCTCACCTGTACATACTGTTTCATCTAGTCTCTACGTACAGTTTCATCTCACCTCCACACACTGTTTCATCTAACCTCCACGTATAGTTTCATGTTTCATCTCACCTCCACACACTGTTTCATCTCACCTCCACGTACAGTTTCATGTTTCATCTCACCTCCACACACTGTTTCATCTCACATCCACGTACAGTTTCTTGTTTCATCTCACCTCCACGTACAGTTTCATGTTTCATCTCACCTCCACATACTGTTTCATCCCGTAATGCGCCACTGCAATGCGAGAGTACGCCTTGGCCCACCGCGGCTGCAGCTGCAGCGCCTGGATAGGGGGTGGAAAGCAGTGCAGAGGGGTTGTAACGCACAGGCTTGTAACGAGTATAGACAAGTGCACTCACCTTCCTGCCATCGTGCAACGCCTGCTGGAAGTTCTTCATGGCTGCATGTGTGCTTGTAACGCACATGCTTAAATCGAGTACAGACAAATACTCTTACCTTCCTGCCATCGTGCAACGCCTGCTGGAAATACTTCATGGCTGCATGTGCGCTTGTAACGCACATGCTTATATCGAGTACAGAGTAATGCTGTTACCTTCCTGCCATCGTGCAACGCCTGCTGGAAATTCTTCATGGCTGCATGGGCGGCTGATCGGTTGCTGAAGAGAACACTTGAGCTGACAAGGGAAGCGGGGGAGGAGACAGGGAGAAACATGGGAGGTATGAGGAGCAGAGCAATGGGAGTGAGGGTGTTGGTGCTCTTCATGGCTGCATGGGCGGCCGATTGGTTGCTCAAGAGAACACTGGAACTGACAAGGGAAGCGGGGGGGAGTGGCGGAAGCGGGGGGGGAGTTGCGGAAGCGGGGGGGAAGGGAAAGGAGGGAATTTTGGAGAGTGGAATGAGGGTGGGTAAGCATGGCTGCATGGGCGGTTGGTCTGTTGCTGAAGAGAGCACTCGAGCTGACAAGGGGAAGGAGGGGAGGTGGGGAGAAGTTGCGGCAAAGGTGGGGGCATGGTGAATGGAAGTTGGGGGAAGGTGTGTGGTGGGTGGATGGTGGGTGGAAGGTGAGTGGAAGGTAGGTGGAAGGTGGGGCATAGGTGCTCGAGTGAAGAGCCCCACAGCGTCCTCGCCCCATCCCCATCCCCATCCCCATCCCCATCCCCATGCCCATCCCCATGCCCTGCCCATGCCCATCCCCATGCCCATGCCCATGCCCATCCCCATGCCCATGCCCATCCCCATGCCCATCCCCATGCCCATGCCCATGCCCATGCCCATGCCCATGCTCATACCATGCCCACCCATCCCCATGCCCACCCATGCTTGACAAATGTCCCCACACACTTGAATGGCTCGGGTGAAGAGCCCCACTGCCCCCTCGTACTCGCCTCTCACAACTCCATACCCCCCCATAACCCCCCAAACCCCCCCATACCCCCCCATGCCCACCCATACCCCCCCATACCCACCCACGCCCACCCATGCATGTGAGTGATCAGCAGCAGCTGCAAGCCCACCTGGGGTCAGTCTGAATGGCTCGGGTAAAGAGGGCCCTGCTGCCCCCTCGTACTCGCCCCTCACACCCCCACCCCCACTCTACTCCCACTCCCACCCCCACCCCCATGCAAGCCCACCTGGGGTCAGTCTGAATGGCTCGGGTAAAGAGCCCTGCTGCCCCCTCGTACTCGCCCCTCACACCCCCACCCCCACTCCACTCCCACTCCCACCCCCACCCCCATGCAAGCCCACCTGGGGTCAGTCTGAATGGCTCGGGTAAAGAGCCCTGCTGCCCCCTTGTACTCACCCCTCAGACGTTGCAGGGAGTTTTCGAGAATTCTCAAAAACTCCCTGCAACTCCTCAGGCCCCACCCCCACCCCCACCCCCACCCCCACCCCCACCCCCACCCCCACCCCCACCCCCACCCCCATGCAAGCCCACCTGGGATCGGCTTGAAAGGCGCGGGTGAAAGTGAAGAGCCCCATGCCTCCTCGTACTTCCCCTCACATGCCCATGCCCACCCCCGTGGTTGACTTAACAAATGTTCTTACCCCTGACGGGAAGGCACACCTGGGGTCGGCTTGAATGGCTCGGCTAAATGGCTTCACTGCCTCCCTGTACTCGCTCGGAAGGGGGGTGCATTGCCCTATGCCCCATTCTCGTAGGAACACCTGGGGTGGGGAAATACACACCTAGGGTACTGCTGGGAGAGGCACACCTGGGGTCGGCTTGAATGGCGCGAGTGAAGAGTCCCACTGCCTCCTCGTATTCGCCTCGAGAAAATGCCGCATTGCCTTGCTCTTTCAACTGGTGATGATGATGATGGCGTGCCATCATGCCATCATGCCATCAGGCCATCATGCCATCATGCCATCATGCCAACATGCCATCATGCCATCATGCCATCATGCCATCATGCCATCACGCCATCACGCCATCACGCCATCATGCCATCATGCCATCACGCCATCACGCCATCACGCCATCACGCCATCACGCCATCACGCCATCACGCCATCACGCCATCATGCCATCATGCCATCATGCCATCATGCCATCATGCCATCATGCCATCACGCCATCACGCCATCACGCCATCACGCCATCACGCCATCACGCCATCACGCCATCACGCCATCACGCCATCATGCCATCATGCCATCACGCCATCACGCCATCATGCCATCACGCCATCATGCCATCACGCCATCACGCCATCACGCCATCACGCCATCACGCCATCACGCCATCACGCCATCACGCCATCACCCCATCATGCCATCATGCCATCATGCCATCATGCCATCACGCCATCATGCCATCATGCCATCATGCCATCACGCCATCATGCCATCATGCCATCACGCCATCATGTGATCACGCCATCACGCCATCGTGCCATCATGCCATCACGCCATCATGCCATCACGCCATCACGCCATCATGCCATCATGCCATCATGCCATCATGCCATCATGCCATCATGCCATCACACCATCATGCCATCACGCCATCACGCCATCATGCCATCACGCCATCATGCCATCAGGCCATCAGGCCATCACGCCATCATGCCATCATGCCATCATGCCATCATGCCATCACGCCATCATGCCATCACGCCATCATGCCATCACGCCATTATGCCATCATGCCATCATGCCATCACGCCATCATGCCATCAGGCCATCAGGCCATCACGCCATCGTGCCATCGTGCCATCACGCCATCATGCCATCACGCCATCATGCCATCATGCCATCATGCCATCATGCCATCACGCCATCACGCCATCATGCCATCGTGCCATCATGCCATCATGCCATCATGCCATCATGCCATCATGCCATCATGCCATCATGCCATCACGCCATCATGCCATCATGCCATCACGCCATCATGCGATCACGCCATCACGCCATCGTGCCATCATGCCATCACGCCATCATGCCATCACGCCATCACGCCATCATGCCATCATGCCATCATGCCATCATGCCATCATGCCATCATGCCATCACGCCATCATGCCATCACGCCATCACGCCATCATGCCATCACGCCATCATGCCATCAGGCCATCAGGCCATCAGGCCATCATGCCATCATGCCATCATGCCATCATGCCATCACGCCATCATGCCATCATGCCATCACGCCATCATGCCATCACGCCATCACGCCATCAGGCCATCATGCCATCACGCCATCATGCCATCATGCCATCATGCCATCAGGCCATCACGCCATCACGCCATCATGCCATCACGCCATCATGCCATCACACCATCACGCCATCACGCCATCATGCCATCGTGCCATCACGCCATCATGCCATCATGCCATCATGCCATCATGCCATCATGCCATCATGCCATCATGCCATCGTGCCATCATGCCATCATGCCATCATGCCATCATGCCATCATGCCATCATGCCATCACGCTATCACACCATCATGCCATCACGCCATCATGCCATCACGCCATCGTGCCATCGTGCCATCACGCCATCATGCCATCACGCCATCATGCCATCACGCCATCATGCCATCACGCCATCATGCCATCATGCCATCATGCCATCACGCCATCATGCCATCACGCCATCATGCCATCACGTTTCAGAAGATAAGATGCAAAAGGAGCAGCAGGTAAAAGAAACAAGGATGCATCATAGTGTGTTGCAATTCAGAGGATTCACAGGCAAAAGAACGGCATTTCTAGACGGTTTCTTAGGAGGCCCAGAATCGCCTCACTTCCCATCGTAATTAAACCACAAACCTCCCCTTCCCCTTCTCCTCCCCTTCTACCCTGCTTCTCCTCCCCTTCCCCTTCCTCTTCTCCTCCCCTTCCCCTTCCTCTTCTCCTCCCCTTCCCCTTCCTCTTCTCCTCCCCTTCTTCCCCGCTTCTCCTCCTAAAAAATGGTGACTTATTAGGCGCCTCAGAAATCATATCATCTTCAGGTCTAGGGTTCAGACTTCACATTGTATGTAAGCCTGGAGGAGAAGGGAAGGTCCATCTCACGTCAGAAGACGAAACTCCCCTTCTCCACAAGGTTTACCCAGCAAGACCATTTCAAAGGGAACCCACCTTCGTACCTCAGTCGCTGGCTGTGCTGCTTCTCCATCCCCCATTCTTCATTTCCCCTACTAACCCTTCCCACTCTTCATGACTTTTGAGTCCACTCAGTCACCTACTAACCCTTCCCACTCTTCGACTCCCCCACCCCTTTTTCTCCAGCAAACCCATTGGAAGAGCACCCACCTTCGTACCTCAGTCGCTGACCGTGCTGCTTCCCCATCCTCCTCTTCTCTCCCTGCTCCCCCTGCTGCTCCTCCCTCACGCTCATCATACACAATTGTTGCCCCTTGAAGCTCCTGATAATCAAGAAACGATGAAGAAAACAAACAGCAAAAAAAGCATATATATATGTATATACATATAGTAAACACATATATATTCTTCATTACAAAACTTATGACAGTATTTTCAACGAAGGAAACACGAAACATGATTTATAATTGTTGCTGAAGGGGGTTTTTTCTTCCTGCAATAGCAGGAAGGAGTGCCACATGGCATTCACGAATAGTGCCACGTGGCATCCACTAATAGTGCCGAGTGGAATTCACTCACAGTGCCACATGGCAAGAAGAACATGAAACTCACATCTTCAAAGTCCTCTGTTGGGCGGCACGTGAGGCATTTAATGCAGTTTGCGTGATGCACGTTTTTGTGCGCGAACAAGCACACTCGCTCCCACGCGCGCACACATGCAAACACACACACACACACACACACACACACACACACAAACATGCACACACACACACACAGGCACACACACACACACAGGCACACACACACACAGGCACACACACACACACACACAGGCACACACACACACACACAGGCACACACACACACACAGGCACACACACACACACAGGCACACACACACACACAGGCACACACACACACACACACACACAGGCACACACACACACACACAGGCACACACACACACACAGACACACACACACACACACACACACACCCTTCCATCCACCCATCCGCCCACCCACACCGCATGCATACACACCCACCCACCCACATCCATACACACAGCATCATGCATGCATACATAGCAGAACAGACACACAGAGCAATGCGTTTAGAGGCGATTAATGGATTCTAGGGGCGTTTAGAGGCGTTTGGGGGCGTTCAAAGGAATGAAATGAAACTGGAGAAGAATATCAATAGCACAATTCATCGCTGCAAAGAAAGCTCCATGTGCCATGTACTCATGTACTTATCTGAAATACAGAAAGCAGAAACAATGTGATTATTCAATTTCCACCTACCGCTCTGCGCACCCGCCCGCCCACATACCTTCCCACCCGCCCACCCACCGCTGCCAACCTACCCTACCTCCAACACGAAACCCCCAAGTCCAACCCTCCCCCATCAGCAGGCACCACTCGCCATCATCATCAGTGGCTTCCCCCTCCCCACCCGCCCCCCCACCATCTTTCCCCTTCCCCTTTCCCATGCCTCCCCATCCCCATCCACATCACCAGCCACCACCCACCCACCCACCCACTCACCATCGTCATCATCATGTGCAATCCGCCCTCCTGGCCCCCCACCCATGTCGCCTCCTCCCCTTCCCCTTGCCTGTAGCCCCATCCCCATCCCCATCCCCATCCCCATCACCATCCCCATCCCCATCCCCATCCCCATCCCCATCCCCATCCCCAATCGCCACCCCCATCCCCACCACCCACCCATCATCATCATCACCATGTGCCATTTGCCCTGCGTTTCCTGCCCCATCCCCATTACTCGCCCACCCATATTCCCAACCCCATCACTCCCCACAACACGCCACCCAATTCCCACCCCCATCCCCATCCCCCACTCACCATCGTCATCATGTGCCATCTGCCCTCCTGCTGCCTGCCATACCCCCACCACTCCCCCCACCCACCACTCCCCCCACCACTCCCCCCAAAACTCCCCCCACCACTTCCCCCACCACTCCCCCCCACCTGCAAGCTCATTCCTATCACCACCCCCATCCCCATCCCCACCCCCACCACTCCCCCCCACCCGCAACCTCATCATTCCCATCACCACCCCCACCCCCACCCCCACCCCCATCACCACCCCCACCCCCACCCCCATCACCACCCCCATCCCCATCCCCCATCCCCATCCCCCATCCCCATCCCCCATCCCCATCCCCCATCCCCATCCCCATCCCCATCCCCATCCCCATCCCCATCCCCATCCCCCATCACCACCCCCATCCCCATGCCCCACTCACCATCGTCATCATGTGTTGTCTGCCTTCCTGCTACCGCTCCCCCTACCCCCCCCGCTCCTCCTCCTGCTTCCTCCCCCTCTCCCCCTTCCCCCTCCCCTTCCCCTCCCCCCATATCCCGCACCACCTTCTGTCCCTCGCGCTTCTCTATCAGATGCTCGTACTTCTGGAGAGGGGGGGAGGAGCAGGGGGGAACGGTCAGCCTGGAATAACGCTCACTGTACCGTACTGCACCCCGCACAACCTTCTGCACAACCTTCTGCTTCTCTATCAGATGCTCGTACTTCTGAAAACGGGGGGAAATGGAGGGGGGAATGGGGGGAGAAATGCGGGGATAGAGGGGGGTATGGGAGGGGGGGGAGCAATGCAACTATCACGATCAAAACTCATTCTGCCCCTCCCGCTTCTCTATCAGATGCTCATACTTCTGGAAACGGGAGGATGGGGGGAAGGGGAACGAGGTCAGCCTGTACCGTACTGCATCCCACAGAACCTTCTGCCCCTCCCGCTTCCCTATCAGATGCTCGTATTTCTGGAAATGGGGAGATGGGGGATAATGGGATAGAGGGACAGGGGGGATAGGCGGATAGCGGGATAGGGGGATAGGGGGGAAACACAATGCAGCTAGCACCGATTGAAACACCTCCTGCCTCTCACACTTCTCTATCGAATGACTGTATTTCTGGAGAGGAGGGGGAGGAGTGGGGAGCGGAAGGGTGGAGACATTGGGGGGTATGGCAGGCGGAAGAGCCGGATAAGCGCAGCAAGCGGGGAAAGCGCACGGGCGGAAGCGCAAAAGGCGGGGAAAGCGCAAGGGTGGAAGCGCATCAGGCGGGGGTTGCGCAACGGCGGAAGAGCATTAACCGGGGGAAGCGAAAAAACGGAAGCAGCACCTGCAGGAACTTGGGGATGTGGCGCACATATTGCGGGCCCTTCCGCGCGCTTCCCCCGGCCGTTCCGCCTCCGCGGAAACTCATGTTCTCGGCGGAACGGCGCACAACAGAAGGTGGAGAGGAGCGGATGAGGCTGAAAGGGCGGAAGTTACGGAAGGGCAGAAGTGGCGGATACAGACAGGCTAGAAGCGGAATTGTTGAAAGTTGACTTGAGATAAAAGGGTTGGTATGCGAAATTCTCAGCCAAAGGAGTGCTACGTCAAACGGGGTGCCAACGCATATACAGGAAATCTACATGTTCCGACGAAGGCGGGGAAATGAAGGTACTGTCGAGCCTGCTTCTGGTTTTGCCGAGGATCGATCCGTCAACGCACTCAACCATACCATAACGCAGAATAACGTAGAAAGTCGTAAATATACCCGTCTTGGGAATGACCTCGAGAATCCAGCTTCATCCATATTGCACAAGGTTTGGAAGACTAGGGTATACAGTGCGGTGGGGTGGATACTACAGATGTAAGGAATTTTCCCGAATTCCTTATCGGGGTTGACTGCTACGCGTACAGCACGATTTTCGGACTTTGCACGTTCGGCCGATTTCAACGCTGCCGAGGCTCCTCGCGTCGCCTTCGGCATTTCCCATCGCCAAACCTGCACCCCAACCTCGTTCGTCCGAGGTTTCCTCCTAGCTAGGCTAGCTCCTACATTAGTGTGTTCCTTCATTGTATTCTCAGATCATTGAATCACAGTCTCGTTATTCGTTTACCTGCGCACTCTCTTTTACAACTCATAACACCTGGTATCAGAGCTACTTTCCTAGTTCACCCCGTTTTTCCAAGGGTAGTTTGGTGGCATAGGGTGAAGCTGGTTTAGTGACTACACGACGGTTGGCCGCAGGGATTGTTAATTCAATCCTGCCCGACTCCGTTAGTTCGTGTTTTCACTTGCCTGAAGGCCACGGAGATCCGACTGCCCACCAGACGTAGCGCTAGGCACATGGATCAGGACGCGGCTAACAAGATGATCGCGCAAGTGGCAGAAATGCAAGAGAGCATGAGGACATTAATGGCGGAAGTGACAACATTGTGTGAAGAAAACGTCGAGCTGCGCCAGACGCGAGGTGAAGCGCGTCAAGTGTCGCTCGAGGACGAAGGCGAGGGCAACAGTCAAGCGGTGAGCAATCCGTTGGACGCGCTCACACGTGACTTCGAAGAGGAGGACACGCAGCGAGCGGCAGCAGCGCCAGTTGCAGTAACGACGATCAAGATCAAGCCCGTTAACCCGCCCCCGTTTAATCCTACGGACAAGACGGTTATAGTAAAAGGGTGGCTGTTCGGGGTCGAGGTCTTCTTCACTACATCAGGAGTTAATGACGACGCCACGCGTATTAATTACGCGGTTTCGCTTCTTCGAGGTGCAGCGCTTGAATGGTGGCGCTGAACCTTGGAAACGGGGACGCCGACAGGTGTGACGCATGCGGCAGACGGGACCTCAACAGTGACTAATCAAGTGGCACAATCGATCTTCGGAGTGACCACGATACGCACGTGGAAGGAGTGGGGCGCAGCCTTACGAGATCGCTTCGAGCACGTATCCGACTCGGAGCAAGCTCGGATGAAGCTGCGTGCATGGTCGCAGATGGCTTCTGTCCAAGACTACACGGCATCATTTATGGGCCTCGCCGACCAAGTTGATGATATGTCGGAAGCTGAGCGGTTAGATAAATACATCAGCGACCTCAAATACGAGGTTCGCAGGGGCCGACCGACATCATTTCTTGAAGTAGTACGGCTGGCGGAGTCTACAGATGTGCTAATGCAGTACGCGAGAGCAGCTTCTCGGGAGGGAAACCGCTTTCGTGGCCAGACCCATCGGGCCACGATCAACGCCGTCTATACACCCGACCGCCCTCCTAAGTGTCAGAACATTATAGCTTACTCTTTTATGTAGGCTATAGTGGGGTATCCCATAGGGGGTACAACCCAATTAGGGTTTCATATTTGTACTCACTTCATTTCATACTGCACCCATTCTCGCTCTTTCTTTCTCATGGAATCAGAGCAGGTCCCATCCTAGGGACTGTTCTTTAGGGCCCACCGAAGCGCGCCCGAGGCGCGCGCCTTTTTTTTTAGCAACCCTCCGAGTCGCCCTTTTCCTTCGCGGCCCCGCCGCCCTACTCTCGCGGCCCAGCCGCCGCCCTACCTTAGCGGCCCACCTGCCGCCCTTGCTAGCGGCCCCGCCGTCCCGTCGCGGCCCCGCCACCCAGTCGCGGCCCCACTGCCCCTACGCACGGCCCCGCCACTCCGTAGCGGCCCCGCCACCCCTTCGAGCGGCCCCGCCCCTTCGTCGCGGCCCCGCCACTCTGTCGCGGCCCCGCCACTCCGTCGCGGCCCCGCCACCCCCCTTCGAGCGGCCTCGCCACTCCGACGCGGCCCCGCCACCCAGTCGCGGCCCCGCCACCTCTTCGCGCGGCCCCGCCACTTCGTCGCGGCCCCGCCACTCCTTCGAGCGGCCCCGCCACTCTGTCGCGGCCCACCCGCCGCTCTACCTGCGGCCTCCCCGCCGCCCTACCTGCGGCCAACCGCCGCCCTACCTGCGGCCGTCCCGCCGCCCTACCTGCGGCCTACCCGTGGCCCTACCTGCGGCCCGCCCGGCCGCCCTACCTACGCTGCCCAGTAGCAGCCGAGCCGCCCGGAGCAGCCGAGCCGCCCAGGAGCCACCGAGCCGCCCCGCAGCAGCCGAGCCGCCCAGCAGCAGCCCAGCCGCCCGGAGCCGCCGAGCCGCCCAGCAGCAGCCGAGCCGCCCGGAGCCGCCGAGCCGCCCAGCAGCAGCCGAGCCGCCCAGGAGCCGCCGAGCCGCCCAGCAGCAGCCGAGCCGCCCGGCAGCAGCCGAGCCGTCCGGGAGCCGAGCCGCCCAGCAGCCTAGCGGCCGTGTCGCCGGGCGACCTTCCTCCCGAGCCGCCCGACCTGCCCGGTGAGCACTGCACTGCTGTCACTGCGTACCCTTTCCCTACTGCTTGCACTGCGCCACAGTCGTCGTCATGGCTACACCCAGTGTCCTCGCTTTTGACGCTGAGGGTCATGCCATTGACTTTGAGGTCTGGCTTGACGACCTGCAGCTGTTTTTACAGTGCGAGAGGGCCGACAGTCTGTCTCTCTTTGACCTCACCTCTGGCGCCGTCCCTGCCCCTGCTGCTGATGCTAACGCCACTGTTCGCTCTCAGTGGGCCACGCGCGATGCTGCTGCACGTCTTGCTGTGCGTCGCCACCTGCCTACCGCTGAGCGCGCGCACTTTAGCCAGTACAAGAGTGCTCAGACCTTGTACGACGCTGTAGTTGCGCGCTACTCCTCCCCTGCCACTGCTGCACTGAGCCGCCTCATGCTCCCCTTCCTCTTCCCTGACCTTGCCGCCTTTCCCACTGTCGCTGATCTCATCACGCACCTCCGCACTAGTGACACTCGCTACCGCGCTGCGCTTCCTGCTGACTTCTGCGCCAAGAACCCCCCCCCCATGTACATCACTCTCTACTTCCTAGTCACTCGCCTCCCTGACTCCCTTCGTGTAGTCAGGGACCACTTCCTCGCGGTCTGTCCCACCACCCTCACAGTCGACAGCCTCGAGAAGGCCCTCCTTGCAGCAGAGAAGAGCATAGTTGCTGTAGGAGCCTCTCGAGGTGACCCCCGCGCCCCCATCTTTGAGGGTTATTCTCCTTCCCCTCTCCTGCCCTCTGTCGCCTCTGCCGCTGCGGCCGACCTCGTTGGTCTTGAGTCGGTCGGTGCGGCGTCTGCCCCTAGCGGGAGACGCCGCTCTGGCAAGGGCAAAGGGGGCAAGGGAGCGGGTGGGGCCAGTGGGGGCGGTGGAGGTGGAGGTGGAGGCGGCGGAGGGAGTGGGAGTGGCGGTGGAGGTGGTAGCGGGGGTGGGGGTGCTAGTGGCGGCAGTGGAAGCGGGGGTGGCGGCGGCGGTGGCGGTGGTAGCGGAGGTGGCGGAGGTGGCGGCGGTGGAGGCGGAGGCGGGGGAGGTGGATGTGGAGGCGGGGGTGGTGGAGGTGGAGGTGGTAGGAGTGGAACTTCACAGCGGAGCGGCACTGGGGGAGGTCAGCGCCAGCAGCAGCAGCAGCGTTCTCGCGACGTCCCCACCCCTCAGCAGCTCCGTCAGTGGTACACGCAGCGTCAGCGCGGTGGGGGTTTTGGTCCCTGCACCTACGTTCTCCGCACTGGCGACCGCGCTGGAGAGCAGTGTGGGGGCACCCACCACGCCCAGCGCTGCTTTGGCCGCCTAACAGACGCTTGGCGCCAGCAGTTCCCGGAGGCCGCGGAGATCCCCCGCTGGGGAGAGCTATCTACGGCTGGTGTAGCTATATTTGATCTTGATTCTGATGCTATCCTTGCTGCCATGTATGCTGTAACCATTAGTGATGAGGGTGACTGTTACCGGTGTTTCCCGCCCGACCCGGGCATTGGTACTGCTGCTCTAGGTGCCGGTGAGGCTTCTGCTCTAGGTGCCAGTGCGTCTGTGCTCTCAGGTGCTGGTGAGGCTGCTCTCTCAGGTACTAGTGCGTCTGCGCTCTCAGATACTCCGTCGGCTTCGGCCTCCCTCACCTTCACTCTTGACTCTGGAGCGTCTCGCTCTTTCTTTCGGGACCGCACCACACTCACGCCGCTTAGTCGGCCTGTTGCGGTTTCCCTGGCTGACCCCTCTGGGGGTCCTGTCCTGTCTCGCTTCTCCACAGTCCTCCCGTGTCCGGCGGCTCCCTCTAGCACCCTGTCTGGTCTCTACCTCCCCTCGTTCTCTACGAACTTGGTGAGTGGTGCTGACCTACAGGATGTGGGAGTCCACCAGTTCACCCCTGCTCGTCAGCGAGTCATGCACTGCACAGAGGCTAGCACGGGTCGTCACCTGGCTACGTTTACACGTCAGCCACGGTCGAGCCTGTA